TTTGGCAAACACATAACATTAAAAAAATAAAAATAAAGTAAATAAATTAAATTCTATACAAATTAAAGATACTTAAATTTTAAAGATAACATTATTTAAATGTTGAACAGTATTCTAAAAAGAAGAACAAAACCTGTTAATTTTAAAAAAATTATTTACTCAAACAAAATAGTTATTAACAAAAATAAAATTTAAAAAGCTACATGCTTACATTTAAAAATTGGACAAAAAACAATTCTTCTAATAATAACAACTAAAAAGAATAAGCAACAATATACCTTTACCTAACAATATTAAAAACAATATTTATAACAAATTTTTTATTTCTATTACTATAATTAAGCTCAAACAAATAATAAAAGTAGCACCTAAAAAAAAAGCAACAAGACCATTAGAAATTGCAAACAAAGTTATTCAACATTTACCTTTATTAGCTTTCTCTTATCTTTTGATTATATTTAATAACTGTCTAATACAAAAAATTATCTTTGATTAGTAGCTAAAAGTTAATATTTGACTAATTCCAAAGCAACAAACTTATAAATATAAACTTAATTTTATTTATTCTATTACATTAATTGATTATGCTAGAAAAATCTTTACAAAAATTTTAATAACCTGACTAACAAACATTTTAATACATAACAAGTACTATCTCTTTATAACTTTGCAGTCTTTTCTTATCAATCTATATTACAATCAATCTTATAACTTATACAAATCCTAGAAGATGTAGTCACAAATAGAAAAGGAATTTGGATTCTTTTTCAAGACATATTAAAAGTTTTTAACTTAATTTATATATCTACTTTATGCAAGACACTTAAAGAATATATATTCCTAACAAAACTATAAATCTATTAGCATATTTGCTTTCTCATTGAACTAATAAAGTTATTACTATTTTAGATCTAACTTATCATACCTGATAGAGAATAATATTAATCAAAAAAAAACAATCTTTACTCTTTTCTGAAAAATATATTATAACCTATTAATATTAATATATAAAGAACATCAAAAGTATCTTAGTGGAATTTTCTTCAAGTGCAAAAAAAATAGATATTTCTGTAATAGCCTATATGGATAACTCTTTATAAATTGTACTAAACAAAACCTTTCTTATCAATATACTATATACTGCCTTCTTATTTTATAAATTTGCTAATATAAAAATTAATTTCTTGAAGTTTATATTAGTTACAAACTTTTTAGACTCAGACAATATAATACTTTTTAATAAAGAAAAACTAGTTGCAATTAATAATAAAACACTTTTTAAATATTTGAGAGCTTGATTTTTGACTAATAAAAAGCTAATATTAATACAAAAAAAAATAATAGCTAAAACTAAAATCAATCTAAAAAAATTACAATTTGCCAATATAACAGAAAAATAAGCAATTTATATTATAAAGTGTTATTATTCTATATCTTTTTTATCAGTTATATTTCTTATTTTTTTCTCTTCACAATTAAGCTTATTTAATAGAGTTTGTACTCAATTAATTAAGCATAAAGCAAAACTAACATGAGGGGTTCCAAATTTCTTTTTATTTATTCAGATATTTATATATTAGTAAATCTAACTTATGTCAAATATTAGCACTAGTTACTATACTTTAAAAAAATCTAAAACATTTTAACTTTGATACTTATTTCTTAAAATTGTAATTGTTACAACTGCAGAATGAAATACTTACAAATATTTCAATTCTAGAACAACTTATAGTATTTCTATTATCACAATTAAATATACAAACCTGTCAAATAATAATAGTATTATATATATTAAAACTGCAAACTATATACAATAGTAATAACTGGTTACATTCAAAAAAGTTTATTGGAATATCTATAAATTAACTTTTTGCAAATTATTCTAAAGCTTTATATCTCAAGAAAAAACTAAACAACTTTAATATTACAAGTGTTGAACAATTTCTAAATTCAACAAATACAAAATTGCTAATATAAAACAATTTTTATTACAACATTAAAAAAATACCTAGAGGTCAATATCTTTGTTGATTCTTCTTAATGCATGATCTAATAATTACTTTAACAAATCTATTTCTAATGTTTTTAGAATCAAATCTATACAACTTAGCCAATTGAACAGTTAACAAAAAAGACTAAATAATTACAAAAGGTTTAATTTGTAAAAAAATTTACAATCTACTTAATAAGCATCTTAAAATCTGATACTATAATTTATGCTTGAATAATACTTTAACAACCTGTTATAAATGCACTTTAAAAAACAAGTCATATGTCTCTACATAATGTTACTTCAATACTACAAAACCTAATTATAATTTTCAAGTAGACTATAAAAAAAGAATTTACATCAACTTTGATAATTTTAAAAAAGCATTGACTTTAATCTTACTAACAACAAATTAATTACAAAAACAAAAAATATATTCAGTTTTAGCTAGACCTTTATGCTCCTTCAACAACCCTCCTATACCACTTTGGAATACACTAATAAAAAATAATTTTAATAAAAAAAATAGTAATATTATATATAACAAGTAGCTAACACAACATAGAAAATAATTCTCAAATAATTGCAAGTTATTGTTTCTAATACCTTGACACCTTCTTTGGTTGTTTTACCAACCTTTGGCCTTCTTGTTTAAACACATTAATAACTTTACTAATTTTTGTAATTACTACAATGAACCCCAATGCCAATATAAAAATATATACCAATATTTCTTTATTTGTGGTTATAATTACCTTTATACAATCAGTTTAATAATACAATTATTCTAATTTAGATAAACAGCAACATACTTACCTCCTTTTGATACTAAAAACAATAACATATAACTAAACTCTTATAATTATACTTGATAAAGAATTTTAAATCTCTCAATCTCAAAACAATATCTTTTTACTAAATACAAAAATTTTAATATAACTACTTTGTTTAAAGGTTCTTAGAAATCCTTATACATATCTGTTAAAACTACTTTAAAACAAATCTACCAAATTACAAACAGAATATTTAACTAACAATGAATCTCATAATAGCATATTTTACAAAACAAGTTTAACTAGTTACTAACTCTACAATACATATTATATAAAAAGAAACTCTTGACCTTAGTGACTGATCTTTACTCTTCAGTACTAAAAACTTTAAAATTAAATTACTATCAGAAGAGTTGTTTACTTATCATCTTTTTTATTGAAGAAATACTAACAAATATCTAAACTATTTCTGTTTAAGGTGTTATAGTGTATCTGAAAATATATATATCTCTTAACTTGTTTTTGGAATTATATATACTTTATAGCCTTAATAAAAGATGCAGTGCAGAAAACCTTAACTGACCTAAAAACACCTTATTATGATATAAACAGTTTTATTCAAGTCTTTGTTTTGAACCACATCAACAAGCATATGACACTAAGACTAATAATTACTGATACACTAACACTCTTTGAAAATAATAAATAAAAAAATAAATATGCCTCTTTTATACATTACAATATTATTACCATAATATACAAAGAACTTTTGACTTACTTCTAAAGCAGTACAAAATAATTCAGTTTTCCTAATCCCATCATCATTATGATTTTCAATATTAGCTATACTAAACCAATCACATTATCAGTATTAAATGAAAAGATACAGTATTATATTACTAATGGACAATCTTCTTTTCATTATCTTATTAAAGACTAGAAATTTATTAACCATTCTAGCAAAGAATAGATCAAGAGTAAAGTAGCTCTTACCTCCATCTCCCTAGCTTAGTTTCTTCAGCATGTATCCTAATATATGTAAATTAACTAATTAATAAAGAGATAGAGAATAGACCTCTCTTTTTTTTTAAAAAAAAAATAATAATGGTAAAATCTGATTTGCTGATCATCATGTATAAAAACATAGCAAATTATAATAAGTTGTTTAATTTCATGTTATCGACAAATGCGTATTGGATAGATTGACCCTAATGCTACATATAAATGTCATAGGTCTGATTGGCTAGTGTAAATCAATTGCCCGGGTAACTTATTAAAGTACTTTTTTGGGAACGTAAAATTACACAAGCAAAAAATCTCAAAACATTATTTCTATCTTCAAAAGAGAATTAGAAAACTAACTCAAAAATTAGTCTTTTATAATCTTATTCACAAAAAAGTCAGCTTAGATACAACTTTCTGAAAGAGGTACAGAAAAGATACGTTTGAATTTTAAAATACACAAAAACAAAAGTAGTTATTAACAGAACAGTTGTTCTTTTTTTTAAAGATTGAGATTTCTGGTTAGGTGGTTGAAGAAAGACAAGCTTGTTCGTATGAGAGTTCTAGGTTTTATATTTAATATATTCTTAAGTGAGCATAGTTTGTTAAAGTGTACTAAGATCTAATAGATCAATCTAGGTTTATAAATAGCAGGTTTAATGATTCGGGTTTTGTTTAATAGCGAACACCATTTTTTGCCCTATTCTATATTCGTCCATCTATCTTTTATATGTATATGATCAAATAAACCATGGGTATTTATCAATCTATATGAAGTTTTTTCTTGAAGTTTTCGTTCCTAGCATCTAATATTATAAAATAATGAATTGCAAACCGTGTGATTTGATTGGCTAATAATCACTACAAATTGATCTACGAGGCTAGCCAATCAGACCGTTAAGTTTTAGAAATATTTTTATTTTAGTTGCTGTTAAATAAAACTAAGTTCATAACGATTATTAAATATATAGAATACTTAAAAAAATTGCATAACTTGATCATTAATTCTGGGATTTAATTTTTATTAAGCTACATTTCTTTACATAGTAGAACTAAATATTTTGAAGTTTATAATTTGCATTTACAATAGCTAAATAGATAATAATCTTAGCAAAAAGCATTTATCTTGCTCACTATTTCAACCTTTTCATGGTTCTTAAAAGAAAAAAAGCATAAAGGAAATAATATCGAACATAGAATTGTTAACATAGTCGATAGAATTTAACCAAAAGAATCTAAATAAAAGAATAACCTAAATTAGAAGCAATAGAGGGATAGGAAGAGGAGGTGTAGTTAGGTAAAGTATGTGTGTCATCGGGCATGCCGTTATTTGGCATAATAGTATCAAAATGTACTTGATTAGGAAAAGGATTACTTTGGATTAAGTGAGGTTCTTCGTTATAATTGAGATGAATAGGAATAAATCCGTAAAAAGTATATCCAAGCGAAGTCCATGCGTTTTCCTGTTCGATACTTGCAGCTTCACCAAAGTTACTTTCAAAACCGTTAACTGGCCCACTCGAAATTTTTGGTCCTCGTTTTTTAGGTTCAGTATAAATACACATAAGGTTGCGCGATGCACAATTTTTGCAAGTAGTACCTTGGGAGCATTTTACATGCCTTTTTCTACAATTGGTACATGCGTTAGTCGCGTAACGGCCTCGCTTTTGTAGATTTGAATGAGACATCAAGTAGTTGTGACAAATAGGTAGCGCAAAGATGATCGAAAATCTTAAAAGTTATCGTTAAAAATGAAATTGAGCTTTGAAATGTAATGGAAAGCGAGAATCTGTCATATTTATAGAAAACTTTTAATTTCTGATGCAAAACTGTCGTTAAATATAATAAATTATATTTAGTTGATCAATCAATTAGTTTTTTGTATACTAAAGGGTAACATAAATTAATTAATCGATTCAATCGATTCACAACTAATACTGTAATATTATGGGAATTAATTTTATACTTAGTTGATCAATCGATTGAATCGATTTAAAAAAAAACTTAATTTTAATTTAGTCTATTTAGTTGTCAATCAATCGATTGAATCGATTGAATCGATTGAATCGATTGACAGTTGCACCACTTCCAGAAAAATTCAATCGATTAATCGATTGATCATCAACTAACACATTATCCCAGAAACCACAAATTTGTCAATCGATTGATCATCAACTAATACATTATCCGAAAAACCACATTTGAAAAACAAAATTTTTATCACGTGACGGTAGTCCAAAGGGACGTTTATTTCCACTATGGAATCTACTATTTACCATAATTTATATAACAATATGTAGCGGTGGAAATAGACGTTCCCTAGAAGTCCCAATTATATGGAGATGGTTATCCGATTGTTACACAATTGATAGCTATATATTTTACAATACTTTTTTAAATTCTCGGGTAGATTAACGTTCCATTAAACTTAGGTAAATGTAACGGATAAATTAATACCTTCACTTCGTATTATAACATATCCGTTTAATCCATTTTAATCCAACAACTTTATCTCTGCAATCTAATAGGTTGTTTCTCAAAATTACCGAAATTCGAGGAAACTTTTTTTATTTAATTTCCATGGATTCGTAGAATTTGAATAAAAAAAGTACATCAAATTTCATAAGGTATGTGTTGAGATATCTTCGATTACAGTTTTAGAAAAAATTTAAACGTCTATCAAAATATAGGCCGCGATAAAATTTTGCCTGATTTGATCAAATATATCTCGAAAACAACCAATGAAATTCGATGAGCCTTTTTTTTTTATTTGAATTCTATTAAACCATAAGATTCAAATAAAAAAATTTATCGAATTTCATTGAGTGGTGGTTGAGATATCTTCGATCAAACTTTTGAAAAAAAGTAATCTACAGCAGTTGAATAAACGATTATTCATTTAATTTAATTGGACCTAGGTCACGTGGCACTGGGCATGAAAGTTTGGGACACGAAAAGAATTTTCGGTCTAGCAATTAATTGTCAGGTAATAACCTCATCCCATAGTTTTAGAAATATATTGATGTAAATTTCCGGACTCATAAAATCTTGATAGCAACCCGTTGGGTCATGTGTCAGTCCACCACCGCAGACGCATTTCGAAAACATTCATGATATTTTAGTATCTAAAACATATATTAATTCAATACAAGCAAAATAATAATAATAAGAGGTACAGACATGGGCATAGGCATGAGAATAGTAACTTAATATTTATTATTTCTGTATTTTAGTGTTTAATTGTGTCTGAAACTTGTGCCTTGCACCATGTTCATAATAATCCAACGGATAAAGCGTATCCAAGCTCTATTTCATATAATAATAATAATAATAATAAATATTTACATTGTCTAAATATTCTTGACATACCAATTGAGAATTTTTGATTCTTTTCATGACACATTTTGTAGACCGCTTCTATCCCAATCCTTGGATTCGTTGTCAAAGATAGTCTAGGGCCTTCCAACCAGATGCTAGAATAAATTACACTGAACGCGCCTCTTGCGTGGCATTTAACAAAATCAAAGTTTTCGAATGGGATCCATTACAGATAGTCCACACATACGAAAGCAGTAGTTTGAGTCTTTTGGATAATTAAATCAATATTGACATTGCCGCTTGTCCATTTGGAAAAATTACGCCAGAGAAATTCGATTTCGCATTTGGATCACAAATTCGAACCACGATTGGTATCTCCGCACTCAAAGCATTTACCATATTGATAAATGTCCATTTCAGCGTCATTTTTAACCAAAGCTTAAATCTTAAGAATATATAAATCATGAACGGGTTTTTTATTGGTGCTTACGTATGAATTTACATATTGTGAGACCCGAAACGTGACCAATATCACATGACGTAGATCCCGAATGTCAGAAATGTCAGGTATGTCGGATATATCTAATATATCTGACATATCTGATATCGCATAAGTGTGATATATGTGATATATGATAACTTAGATATGTTCGATATACTAGACAAGTTCATGATGTAAATATACAAGACAAATAAAGGGCAGTTCGCCCAGGCAAAAGACGGTGTTTACAATTGCGTAACATAAACTACCTACCCGACCCATAATACAAGTGAAATTGCTGTCTTATAAGAACTCAGCTTACATAGCGTCGCCTAGGAAAAATGGTAGCCGGATAATTTCCCTGACACTACCTAGATCCGGATCTTTATTGCCGGTAGTATGTAAATACGTATGTACGTATGTATATACGACAGATAACAAAAACTTTTTCGAATAATTAGTGTTTTTGATTACTACAGTACTATAAAATACAATTAAAAATATAATACTAATTATATAGTAACAGTATTAAAAAAAAACTTTTGATTTTCGATTATATGATATGTAGCACATTTAAATAAAAATTTAACTGTTTAAATATTTGAGCAAATACAATTTTGCATTATCAATATAGCAATAACACTATTTTGTGCCTAGTGAATGTTATTTTTTGCAGACTTTATATACCATTAGAATGTACTACCCAAACATTCACCTATTATTCCCAATACTGTGTATTATTATTAAAGTCTTTCCATGTTCAGGGCATAGTTCGACGACTTTTTAATTTTATAATATCATCATTCATTTTTTCTAATGGCTTAAAGTTTGAATGAATTCTTTCTAACCATAGATATCCTTTTGTTTTATTACATGATTCTTCTAATAACTCTTTTGTCTTGAATACAATAAAAAAATTGCCATCAATAAATAGCTTACTATAAATAAATTATAGTCTTATATATACCTTATCTAAAATTCCAAATAGATAAACCAAATCAGCTTCATATGTATCCTGTTTTTCATCATCGCTTTCAATTATATAACAATCTTCATTATTAATAATTGAGTCTTGAATTAATTGAATATTTGAGACTTTATGAGCTAAGCAGTTCCCGAATTGGAATATATTTACTAGTTCACCTTCTTAAGTTGAAATTAAAGGGTAATTTCCATTTCTTTGTACCTATTATAGTAGAATAAAAACATTAATATAAATAAATACGTATAGAAGTTTATTTATTTTTACCTTTTTAAAAAACATTGCATTGACTTTTTCAACAGAATTGACTAGATGTTTACACAAAAAGAAACAATTTTTAATAAATGCAGAACATGTACATATCCATCTAATGGGATTTGTAAAATATTTGTTATTTATTTCTATTTTTTTTTTTCGAGACTTCTCCATTCTTTTTTAAATTCCTTTCGCCATGGCACTGTATAATGACCTTGTTGGAGTAATTTAAGCCAATATAATTGTTGGTTAATAACCTTTTTTACAAGAATGTAAAATAAATAATCGATCCTTGGTTTATGAAATTTATATAAATGATCACATTTGATATGTTGTCAATGCGACTCAACTATTATCATGGTTTTGATATGACTAATATTTTCACTAGCTGCCCGGGCCCATAAAACCCATTTTTCCTTAGAATACCATTCTTTCCATAAATAGATCCATAATTTAAGTAAATTATTACTTTGACAAAACAGCATTATCTCGCTAACACATTCTTCCAAAATATGATTTGCATTATTAATAAATATTCCATCTGACCTTGGTAATAGCATGTGTTGATTTGAATGTTTCTCTACAAGATTAAGTATACTTTCCCACAAGTTTAAAGGACAAAATATTTGTACATTTGAATCACTTATAATTCCCCAATTAGGATCCATAGTTGGACATTCATTATGAGCAAGTTTTGGATTGTAGGAATAATAAATACTTGTTTTATTAGATGCTAATCATTGTTTTATTGCACAACGAATATGCCAAGTACATAATTGTAAGTGAGCTTCGGGCTATACAATTTGTGCTGCGCTGATTTCAGTGAAGTCTTTATCCATTAAAATAAAGAAAAATCCTTTTAAATTTCTATCCTTTAAAGTTTGCATCCAGTTTATAAGAATTTCCATTATATTTCGATTTTTTCCAGCTGAAATTAGAAGATAGCTAAGAGGAAAACCGATACTATCAATTATACCTATTATTGTATATAACTTCCAACCTGAATTATTAGTGCCGAATGTTGTATCAATTTTAATTGCATCAAATTTATTGCTTAATAGATAGTGAAACAAGGCTGTTAAAAATCCAATAGCAGGTGTGGGTAAATCAATATCAATAAGGATCTCTTGATCCAACTCAATTAATAAATATTTTGCTGATAATAAAGGATTGGCATCGTGTTGATATAGTTTGTGAGACTCGATAGACCACCAATAATATACTTGTTGAACTGTTATATATTCATGTCCTTCAATTAGAATTTCCTGAATTTGACGTCAAATTTTAGAAGCTGAACAATTAATATTGTTTTGAATAAAATGTTGAATTTCTTGAGTTGTTTTTGTATATTGTGGTCTAGAATGCAGCATTTTATGCAAGTATTTAACTTTAATTACATTTAATGTGGAAAGAATTTTAATTGTTATTATTCCTTTACAATTAAATCGTTCTAAAAACATTGGTGTATCTCTTTGTTTATTTGGCACAGGATGCTTTGCTTGTCGCTTCCCAAGTTCAATGCGGCAGTTACAATAATATATAAAAAAAAGAGAGGTCTTTTTTAGTATTTATTTCGATAGACCTATAAATAACCATCACCTTCTGAAATAAAAGATATTATTTGCTGACTTATTTTAGAATTTAGATTTTCTTTTTGTGATTCATCTTGTTCTAAAATAAAATCAGCGAAAGATGATAGCTCAACATTAAAATTCATGTTTAGCTCTTTGTTTTCTCCTTCATAATGTTCGTCGGTATTATTTAAAGAAACAAGAGAGCTATATATGGTGTCTGTAATATCCAAATAGCTAATCATTGAATCAAATTGATTCTCATTATGTCTTGACCGTGAAATCCTAATATTATTCTGGCATTGATGACATTTTTTTACGAAAACTCCTTTTTTGTTTAAGAATTCACCAGAATTTCGAGTAGCATAGCACCCAATACAAGTTTTGCTTTGCGGATTTGACATCATTAATATATTTGTTCATATGGTATTATTATAAGTTTTTTTTGCTTGAATATTTTTTTTTTTTTGTATGACAATAAAAAAATATGAATTGCTATTGTTATAGCGAAAGTAGTATATATAATCGTAATAATCAACATAAAAGAAAATTTTAATATGTAATAATTATGATGTATTAATTAATTCTATTGTTGAAATTTTATTAAAATGATTGATCAGTATGTATTCAATTTCACTATCACTACCGAATATCAGTATCTGAAACATTCAAAACTGGCAAATTTTTCCAGCTACCATTTTTTCTAGGCGATCCTATGTAAGCTATAAGAACTTGTCATAGTCATGTGTTCAGTAATCATAACGAAAGAGAAGAGTTTCAACCCCGATTCAATGTAGTAAAATCTCAGTTGAGAAAATAAGAATTAAAACAAGAGTAGGTTAAAGAAAAGACTCAAGAGAAGAGACCAGTACTTACCTACAAACAATAATCCACTCATCAAATTTAACACATCTGTTTCAATTTAACTGCTATAGGTTACATAAGAGTTGACTTAGTTTGGTAACAGATTCACTAATTTCTGTGATAACAATATGAATTTATATCAGATTTAAGTATATTTCTAGACTAGTATTGGGTTCAGAAAACTGTAACTCAGACACTTCACAATCCAAAATCTCAGATAATATGTGATAAGTAACTTTTACAAAAGAGGATGTTAGGTTTAATTGGTAGATAATTAAGACTTTTAGTTATTTTGAGTCAACAAAATCTAACAAAGTAGGTCATATGATCAAGAATTTGAATGAATAATTATGTTTATAGATTTTATTAGGCTTATACTAGGTATAGTGTTAGTATTATATTAAAGTTGATACAATGTATTTTGGATCTTGTTATTTATAAAGCAAATAAGACATATTATCTCTAAGGCTCATTTTGACCTTTATTTATATTAAATTTTTAATTATAACTTATTTAATTATATAAAATTTGTTTCATCTTTTCTTTATCTTTTTTGACCTCTTTAATTTATCTATTTAAATTCTTATAATTATTAAATTCTTCTTTTTTTCTTAATATATTTAATAAATTACATTAATGTAATTAATTGTTAAAATATAATATCAAAATTATTTATTATATCCATTTTTATATAATGTTTAGAATTTTATTCTTATTAAATTATTGGGTCTAATACTGGTTTTTAAAATAATTTTATTTTAATTTTATAGAAAATTATTATAAAACTAACTTTATTGCAATGTAAAATTAGTTAAGAATTGTAGTTAAAAAAATCTCAATACAATAAGCAAAAAAATTAACATAAATTTATATATAAATTTATATATAAAATAAATCTTAAATATCTGATTATACAGTTTGACCTCTCTATAATCACTTTCATCATAGTCACATTTACTTATAATCACATAAATTTTTAAAACAAACTTATATAACACTTATAAAATTTAATCTTCATATAAGCACAAACTCTCTATAAGCACCAAATTCTTAAAACCAAGGGTGTAATTATAGAGAGGTTTGACTGTAATTATAAATAATTTCATTTAATGAGTAAATTAATTTGTAGATTTTTCTTTTTTATTACTTATATTGTATACCAATTATTTTTTTCATAATAGACATAAATCATATTTTTTGTTTCTAGCTTTATATTTTTAATTGTTTTTTTTTTATTTTGTTTCTAATCTTATATTTGTTATTAATTTTATAATAGTTTTGCTAATATGTTAGTTTATTAATTTTCTTATTTTAAGCAATATTCCATCTCTTTACAACTAACTTCTTTAATCTATATTATTTTTTTTAAATATTATTTCTTTTTTTGCAAGACTATTAGGTTTGTTATTTTATCTATCTTTATTAAGCTTTTTTATTTTAATTAATTCTAGTTATATTTTATTTATCTTAATAAGATTTATGATCTTTATTATTTATATTGTATTTTTTCTTAAGAATCTTTTTTTTATCTATTTGCTCTAAACCTCTACTAATATTTCTTATTATAGTATTACTATTTATATATTTTTTTATTTATTTCTTTTTTAATATTATTAAAATTGCTATCTACTATATATTGCTACTAACTTGCTATTATTATTATTTTTTTTTTTAAGCAGTCATGCTAGCACTTTATTAAGATTTTTGAAACTACTACTATAATTACATAAATTTATCTAACAACTAAGCCTAGTATCACCTGGCTACCCTAATAGTGCCTAAGTGCAATCTGTCATATTACTTCTAGCAGAAGTAAGCACTTGTTTAACTATTTAAAGTTCATAATAAAAGAGTCTTTCCCTTTCTATAACAAGCTTGTTAATTGTTTTTTTAACTTCTTTTTTTATTCAGTCTTCTTTTTTTTTTGTTTTCTTTTTCTTTCTTCTATTGCTTGCTAATTAGTCTTTCTTTTTCTCTTTATACTTAACTTTTCTTTTCTCTTTAGTCTTCTTTTTTTCTCTTTACTCATTATTCTTCTTTCTTTTTCCTATATGTTGACTTTTTTGCAGCAGATTCTTCAAACTTGTTTATAAAATGTATTTTATGTTATTTTTGCTACTATGTTTGCAAACTATTGTCTTGTTTTTATACTTAAGATTTGAGATAATCTGTCTTGTGTTGTCTTTTAAATTAGGTCTTTGATTAGTGCTTTTCTTATTTCTATTTTTTCTTACTCTGTTTATTCAAAAAATGCTGTATATAATACTTGAGATGAAACTTATATCTTTTTTTTTTCTTTTAAACTTTTCTATACTGTTGCAATAGATACTTTTTGTATCCTTTTTTATAGATTTGCTTGTCTCTTACATGATGTTAAATATTCTTGTATTTCTTTAACTTCACTTTGGCAAACTTGGTATTTTGCTGTTATATATATTTGGTCTTCTTTTATTAAGTTCTTCCAATGTCAGAAGCTTGTCTAATATACATTTTATGAAAGCACTTCTTTTTGTACTGCTTCTTCTTATTAGGCAGTATACTCCTTTAAATAAATTTAGTCTTCTTCAAAAATATGTTCAATGGTATATTGTTATTTCTACTTCTAGTTCTATATTCTTGACTGTTATTGTTTCTTTTTACTCTATTCCCAGTTTGGCATTTGTTATTATTTTACATAAAAGTCTTGCAGGTATGTTTATTCACTTGTTTTTCTACTCTAGACAGTACTTTATCTCTTTGTGGCTAACTTCTTCTGAAAAAATTATTTTCCTATTTAATGTTTTTTTTTGCAAAGCTATTAGCTTTATCATTCTATTTATTTTTGCTATAGCTTTTTATTTTGACCTACTCTATCTGTATGTTCTTTGTTTTTATTATATCTATTATCTTCAATACTCATAACACATTTTTCTTTTTAAAAACTTTATTTCTATCTATACATGCTAATTTTTTACTAATGTTCCTAATTGCTGCATTGCTATCTATAAATATTATTAATTTTTTTCCTTTTGGTATTGTTAAGATTACTATTCATATTGCTAACACCTCAGCTGTAATAAACATAGCCCATTCTTTTACTTCTAATGCTACTTCTTCTTTTGCCAATTTTGTGTTTTAGCTATTTGTACTCAACCTATCTATGTTTTTGTTTATTGCTTCTTCTTTGTTTCTTTTATTTGCTATACTGTTTGTATATATTGTGTATTTGTTTTTGTCTTTTGATATATTTCTTTTTAAGATCTCTACTAGCTCTTGACTAATATTCTTTTTAATTTTTGTTTTTTAATTAATTCTATTTTTAGGCCTTTTAATATTTTTAGTTCTATTAGTTTTTGTTCATTTTTCCTTAGTTCTTTTATTCTTATATATTCTATTAATTAGTTGATAGCTGTCTTAATTATATTATTTTTCTTTCCTATTAGCATATCTGAAACTGTGTTTATATTATTGTTAATTCTTATTCAATATTGACAGTTATTTTCTTCTGTTTCTTTTTCTCTTAAATACCTATTGCATTTGACAATTTTTGTTATTAAGTCACTTTTTATATTATGCATTTACCAATGTTCTATTAGTAACTTCTTCTTCTTTTTAACTATTTTTTCTATTTGTCAATTCTTTGTTGTACTATGTATTATCTATTTTTTTTTTCTCCTATCATTTGACAAAGTTCCTTACTTGATCTTCATTTTCTGTATATTATATCTGCCTGTTTTGAATTGTTCCTTAACTTCTCTGCTTTCGATTCTGTTAAGCACTTTTGTTTCTATCATTTTGAACTACTTTGTCTTTTTGTCTTTGCTTGACTAATTCTGGTAGATCTTGAATTGCTGCCATGTTATTAGTCTTTTACCTTTTGTGTTAAGTAGTTGATTTAGGTATATGAGTCCTGCTTTACTTATTTTGGGTCTGCTTCTTTTCTATAGTTATGGTTCTACTAGTTCAATTATTCAGAAACTATAGTCATTTGTTGTTTATAGTTTGTTTTTTGTGTTTATATTTATTCCTAACTCTCTTGCTTTAGTTATCATTAAGTAGGCTAGATTGTTCTTCCAATATAACTTATCTTCTGGCATTTTTCTACTTTTCATATGTCTTTTATTAAACTTGCTCTTTGATAACCCTGTGTTATTCTTAGTTTTGTTAACTACTCTAGTTTATCTTTTCTGTTTAGTCTTGCTATTAAGCCTCCTATTTGTTTCATTATTAGTTCTTGTTGCAGGGTTTTTTAATTACCAAGATCTTTGTATTCTATTATACAGTTTTATAATATTCTTGGTAAGCTATTTTTTTGTTTTGCAAAGCATATTATTAGTTGATGTATTTCATTTATTCCTTTTTCTGATATTTTTGTTA